CGCAGATAGCTCTCGTGTAGCTTTATGCGAAATTCAAAACAAACAAACAAAACAAATCCAATGTGAACATGAAGAAGTGAAAGGCCTCTCACTCAATAGTCTTATCTGAAGCAGTGATATTTATCATGACATGTCTAACGTTTTATATAATCCTATCCGCAGTGTAGATAAGAAGAAATATATATAATAATATTCAGTGTGTGTGTGTGTCACGTAACTCCTCCTAAACTGCTGGACTCACCAATTTCTAAATGGCACCAAACGAACTGTCTCGGCCTTTCAAGGTTTGCACAAAGGTAAAACTTTTCTCACAACAACTTGGTGAACTGGGGAATTTTCAGGAAAACACTTTTAAGGGAATTCCCCGAAAGCGGACCCCAAATTATAATTGATTTACATAAGACCATGTAAATAAGTAGGCCCACTAATTACCGTTCGTAACTTGGTTAAAGACATTAAACTTGCATTATAGCGGCAATGATCATTAAATTGCAAAATACTAGTTCAACCATTACATTTGCGATATAGCGTCCCTGTAAGTTTGGGCCATAGATCCACCGGTTCGCTAGTATCTATTATACTCTACATAATCCCAATACATATAATTAACCAAACAACTTTTTTGTGTTAAAAGAATTCACAGTATGTCCCGAAGAGGATACTTCTTCAGACTTTGTTATATAACCATCTCACTGAATTTATTTCCCTGGTTATCCGTGTTGCTTTGTCTAACGTACAGAAATAAGTGAAGTTGTATCCACTCAGACAACAGTTTGAACTAAGTTATGCGAATACTTTCATTGCCATCAATAGAAGATAGAATATATGATTAGATTAACACAAGTGGGTAAGTAAAACTCTTTCATTCCCTTTACAATCCTAATACATGTAACGGTTGTAACCAATCAAACAACTTTACAAGAGCATGCGCAGTATACACAACGAGGACATTTTTTTCCTCACCTTGCAACGTAAACGCATTCACTGACTTTATCTCCATGGTTATACGTGTTGCTCTGTCTAACGCACGCGAATAATTCAAACGTAAGCAGTGTCCGCTCTTACAACAGTTCGAACTATATTATTTCAATACTTTCATCACCATCAATAACAACACAACTATTCCAGCCACACGAGGGGGTAAGTATTTGTTAATGTCTCTTCACTGTCTTGTTTTCAGTTACAGAAAGCCTCAGTCTTTATAGCTTCTACTTCTTTTTTATACGTCCAAAACTCGAAACTACCGCACCGATCATCACCAATCATAACTGGGTAATATTTTTATATCTGAGCAATAAATAAAACAATTGAAATTTCCATAAACATTATGTATCAGTTTTAACCAATAAAATTTACAAAAAAGAATAAGTTTCAAATATAGATCAATCAAAAAACAAACTTTAAAAAAATTATTTGTTTTTCTTTAGTGAAAATCTCATGAGTGTTGCAACACAAAAGTTTATTTGTTTGAAATTCACAATGGGCTATCTGTGCTCTGGGAAATGTAGCATATTTTACTATCTAAGTTATTTTGTAAACAGATTAAAAATTGGAAACTTGCATATTCATTGTCTTTTAAACTAAAAATAATAAAATATAAATTTAAAGAAACAAATTCTTATTAATTTCTTATTCATAAGCACAATCTAATACTCTTAAAAATACCAATTTGAGGAAAACGGAATAAACTATAAATATATACAAATGGAACTTTTAGAGAACGAGACTGTAATAACATTTTCTGCATAGAATACATTTTTATGAACAATACATCTAGTAGGTATAAGTAATGTGAACCAAATATGATGAAAATATTAACACATATGACACCTAAGAGTGAAATTAAGTATCAGATTTCACATACTATTGTATTCCGTTACACCAAGTTACCAAAAGCAGTATTTTGTTACATGTACCAAATGAAGTATGAGCATTTTAATGTTTATCATTTTTTAGCGAATTCCCGAGATGTTTTGCTGTTTTAAAGCATTTACAAAAAGGCTTATATTTTTCATTTTAGCTCAGACAAAATGATTATTCACAAAAAATTACAACTTTTGTCATCAAACAATTAGGCACTGCTCTACACATAATAGCAAAAAAAAACTGTTACTTGTAAGTAACATTTCTGATCTTGGTAACAGGATAGTAGTATGCCCAAAATTCGTTGAAACACAGACTTCAGACCAAAAACTAACTGAAATACAACGTTTTGTATTTATGCAATTAAAAGTTTGTTAAAGGCGACAATAACTTCCACTTAAAAACACTGTATTTCAAAGTAAATTTCAAAGTTGTATTGATAAAGAATAAACTAGTTTTATTTAAGAAAGGACTTGTGTCGCTAAAGTTTCATCGGAAAGAAATTATACGGGAAATTAACTAACGACTAGAGACGTAACAGTATGATATGAGGTTGAGATAAATTTGTAGTTTTGCCCCATAAAATTGTGCTGTTTGTACGTGTTCTGCTATAGCCGATTTTCTAGTTTTATTGTTTCTTTTATGTTCCTGTAATCTGCACTTTTAAGTACTTTTTAGTTTGACCAATATATATATTCAACTTTTACATTTACATTATATTTTATAAATTCCAGTTCTATCTTAATTATTTCATCTTTGGTACTCAAATATTTTGTTAATCTTATTCATAGGTTTATAAATGATGAAAAACATTAATCTTGGAATATAAGATAAACTCGAATATAACTCGAAATATTTTTACTGGCATAACTTTCAAATCGTGAGGATAATGCCATAGTAGGGTTTAGGTTTGTTTAAGTTATAAACAACGTATTACAAATCACGGTTACATTTGTCTTCTTTTTTAAATGTCGTAATGGTAGCTTCAGTTATAAATTCAAATTTTAAAAAGGGCGACTACTATTTTCATAATTTATGGACTATGTGTAAACTATATATATTTTGCTTATGATATATAACAAAATTTTACTACTAGTTACTTTCTACATTTCAGCTTCAGTACTAATACACATTGGTGACAACCAACGTGAGTTAACACGCATTTTAGATTTATACCGCTTTCAATGATCATTCGTACATTGAACTTTTTTGGTTGGTATTAATGACAAAGTGAGTAAAGTTCAATATTAAAAGTTAACTAACATACGCCAAACATAAAATAATGCACTTTGAAAAATTATTGCAAATTGACTATTAAGAAATCCATATTGAAATTTAACATTCTGAAAGTAGCCAGATATATATAGTGGGGGTGTAAATCGTGTTGATTATTAAATAATTCGTACTAAAGTATAAGAAATACATGTAGAAAGTAACCTCATACATAGTGAGGGTATTTAAAACTATTAACCATTAAATAATAAGATAACAAAACAATTTACGCTTGTGTATAGATTTTGTACTGTCTTTTTGTTGCGCTATTTCGTCAATCTAGAATCATGAGGCTTTTCTTAATGTAGAATTTCACTTTTTTAAAAAGAGATTTCACGATCAGATGTTATGCTGCAGCTTCCTTCTCAAACCAGTGATGTAATAAACATACTATTGTTTCCAGAAGTATCATAATGTCATCTGAGGAAAAAGAGTCGAAAGGAATAAATAAACTAGAAGACTTAGTTGGAGAATTTGGACCCTGGCAGAGAAACCTGTTTCTCATTTCTTTCATTAACTTGATGCCAATTAGTTGGCAGATTCTCGTACCGACATTTTTTACTCCTGAAATCGACCATTGGTGCAGTCCACCACCAGCCTATTGGAATCTCACTGCCAACCAGTGGAAATCCCTAGCTATTCCTCAAATAACAAGTGAAAACAACACTGTTATCTACAGCTCTTGTCTCATGTATAAAACCATTACTGATTCGCCTTCAGAAAGAGAATATTCGAATGTCACGTGCACATCGTGGGAGTATGACAATTCTTTCTACGCTTCAACTATTATTGATGAGGTGAGATTAGAATAATGAAATCGGTTACACATGACAATACAAAACAGATTCAATGGAAATTAAATGATTAAAACTTCTACGTTTAATGTTTAATCGACACTTTTACGTGATTATATGCAAAGTGTAGAATAGGTTAGCTGCAAGAAATTTGCTGTCATAGAAGACAAAATCATTCTATTAGTATGAATATATGAGTAAAGATTTATATGCATTCATGGTTGGCGGCTGCAACTGTTTGATTAATATGAATTAAATATTTGAAAGGACTATACTTGTTCTTAAAGTCACACAATAAAATAAACAAAATTTTGCTGTATACAACCGATAAAATATTTGTGTGAATGTTTGATTATAAATATTTCTTTAATGTTTTTCTTTATGGGTGACTTCTTTGTTTAGTATACTTTGTAATGTTCTTCGGTTCCTCATAACACCTAGCATTCAGCATAAGTCCCACATTTTAACCCTTGTTAATCAGAGAGCTTATAGAATATAACACCTGTAAAACAACGTTTATTATAACTCCTGTTCATGGACTGTGAGCTTAATTCGGTGAGTTTACAGTGTACAACAATGTTCAGTATAACTCCTGCACATGAACTGGTATTAGTTAGAGGAGTTTACAATATAGAACAATATTCAGTATAACTCTTGCTCATAAACTGTTATTAACTGGGTGAGTTAACAAGATACAACATCAGTTAAACAATGTTCAGTATAGTTCCTACTCTTAAACTATTGTTGGTTAGGTGAGCTTACAACTGATATGCAACATTAGTAAAGCAGCATTTAAAATAACTCCTACACTTCAAGTGTTATTGATGAGGTGACACTAATTATTAACTTCTAACTGTTTAACTGGAAAGTGTTTAGAAAGTTGTATAAATATTTATGTTACTCATTAAGCGTTTTTATTATTTTTGCGTAATGAAATTGATATAGTTTTATTATTATTCATGAGATTATCTTAAGAAAATAAACTTTTCTTGAGACTTCTAAACTTGCACTGATGGAGAATTAAAGTCTGCCATTTTAAATTAAAATAGACAAAACTGCCCTATTAAGCATCAATTGGTGAGACATGTGAACGTTATGCAGTAAGATATATCAACCTAAACTTCAGAGGGACAACTCTGATATAGCAGGCAACAAGAGTGCCCATGTAAAAATTATGAGACGGGACACCAACCATACCTATACGTAATGTTACGACAGCGAAAGTCACGTGACCCTGGTAACACGTAATGAGTTCTAAAAAGATCGGGGAACATCACGAATAATCCA